GAGCAATCATAAATTCTGCGGTTTTCAGTGTGCAGTGTTTTGGGGTCCTTATTTTCCTTAGTAATCATGCGTGCACTTCCGGGCGACAGAGCGCAAGCTGGACGTTCTGGTCGCGAACGCGGCGATGTACCTACCCACGGCGAAGGAGCCAAGGTGATCATCAGGGTTTTGGATCAGGGTTTAGGGATTCGAAAATACTGGGAGTTTTGCATGCACTTCCGGGGAAAGGAGCGCAAGTTGGACAGTGCTTGTCGCGAACGCGGCGGTATACCTGCCAACAGCTAAGGAGCCAAGGTGAGCAGTGTTTGGCTCGTGCATTCAGGGACTTCAAACTAGCAGGAATTGGGGACTCTTTAGCTAGGCATACGGTAGGATGATCGAGGGAACGGGGGCAAGAAGTTGGTTCGACAAGGAGAATGCAAGTCATCTGCTCTTGAGTTCATTTCTCCGCAGGACTGCTCTTGGGATTCGGGGTTCGCGGTTTTAGATAATCTCCTTTCGAGTCGTCAGGGTCTCGTTTTTCAGGGCAGTTGGTAGAGCACCTCTGATGACGAGGCACATGTGGTGTATGCGCCCTTGAATTGGCCCCACTGGCTAAGATCTATAAAGGCGCAAGGAGCATGCCGAAGACCTATATAGGTGCAAGGAGCGTGCCGAGCAAAAGTGCTTCTAACATGGAAAATTCCACTTAAGTAAACTAGTCTCTGTGGCGTCGTCTTGCGCGGGCTGGCAGGCAGACCTAGCAGACTTGAGTAGGAGTCTCAAACAGCTTGTAAGCGGTCAGGCAGATATGCGGCGTGGAGCGGCTGAGCGCAGGAAGTCGAACTCCGGCCACAGCGCGGGCCTGTTGCCCTGGGGGCCGATCATTCGGAATGTCTGGGTTGCCGTTTGGACCTCGATCAAACTGGGGCTTCTCTTTTGGCGCTGCTTGTGTCAGCATTGGAAGCGCAGGTCATCAGCTCGAGTTCAGCGTGGGCCAGACAAATAAGTTCATGTTAGGAAGGCTTTTTTGTCACTCACCGACATTTTGCAATGGTGGTCCTGTGCTTTTGATCAGAATGAGGAGGGCGTTGGAGTACCAGTCCCCCCTGATGTCAGCCCGTTTGGTGGACTTTGTATCACCGCAAGTCCGCCCGTTTGACGTCGCTTTTGGTGTAACATCGGTCTTGGGGCGCTGCTGGGGGGATGGGGGTGGGCAGCTGGTTTCGACAATTTATTCCTCAATCGCGTTAGTTAATGTCAAGCGGGCTTGCCTGTCAAGCTGAAACTCTACGAGCGAGTGGTCGTTCTTTGAAACGCACCCGTGGAAGGCCGAACAAGTCTGTCGCCCTCTTCAAGCGTGTGCGCAGGATTTGCAGATTCACGGCGGAGGGCTTCGAGCTGGGCTTGGAAACAAACCACCTTAGCCACTTCCTATTTTTCTCCTAACTGCCGAGATGGAATCGAAGCCGAAGTTCGAAACCTCAATCAAGATCGAAGTAAGTCTTTGCCTGCGATTTCACGGCGGAGGGCTTCGAGCTGAGCGTTGGGATAAACCACCTGGGCCACTTCTTGCTGGTGAATCTGCTTTTGCAACTCAAATGGGAAACCAAGAATGGAGCTGAGAGTAACCCTTTGCGCAAATTTTGCAGGTTCACGGCGGAGGGCTTCGAGCTGAGCGTCGGTACAAACCATCTGGGCCACTTTTTGCTGGTGAACCTGCTGTTGGAGGACCTGGAGAAGAACCGGGAGGCCAAGCCCCGGGTCATCATCGTCGGCTCCATCACCGGAAACACTAACACCCTTGCCGGTAAGTTTGGAAGAGTATTCGGACATTCTCGATTCAAGAATTCGCTGCTTATGGCTGACTCTTTACTGCAGTGGATCATTTTGATCCAACGAAGTGAACGTTTTTCCGATTGCTGGCGTTCTGGTGGTTGCGACATAAAGCTTTGATAAATAGAAGACCTTTATGCAGCCGGACTCGGGAGAGGGCCCAGCCAAATGACAGAGGCGGTGCGTATGAGAAGCCCCGGCATGATCTCATTTTAACGTAGACACGGGAGAGTTACGGGTAAAAGAGTGGGGGAGCAAGACCTCAACTTATACTTTGAGCTTCTCGAGAGCAGATGTGCGCCTAGTGCCATTGCTGCTTTCCGCTCGCAAGATCTTCGAGCCTGTCTCGCGAAAGGTTTCAGCTGGTTTGCCGCCATCAAGAAGAAACTCCTTATCCAATAGACAGAAGAGGTCAGCCATCGGTCTCCCCAAAGAAAGACGTGAGTTGATCTCCGTCACGGTCTGAAAAGCAGCGCAGTGACTCATTCTACCGGGAGTCTCGATTCTTCAGAAGACAGTCGACCCTTTTTCCCCCTTCCTTCTGGTTCACGCAATGACTCCCCCAGGCAAATCTGGGCGCCTCAGCCGCCGCGCAGATTTTCAGCGCATCTGTTCCCCTCAAGGATTGGACTAGGTATCTCTGATTTGACCTTTTCAGGAAGCCGCCGCCCTTAAGGAGCAGTAACTCTTTCCTTGTTATCCCCTATTCGCGATGGTCCCCCCCAAAGCAAACTGGTCAACTTTATCGCTTCTCCAAAGGCATTTTCGAAGAACCTACTATCACATTTTTCCGACTCACCCCCTCTCCATCTCCATGTCACTGCCCCGTAAGAAGAATAAAACCTTCATCCCCCCTTGGTTCCTGCCGGTAACGTTTCCCGGCCAACTTGGGCAGTCCCGCCACCAGCATTCTCGATTATCTGTGTTAATCTATTGTTTTGTGGCCCACCATCCCTCCAACTAATATATTGCCCCAGAAATTGAATTACCCCCCTCCCCTTTTGCCGCAGGCAATGTCCCCCCGAAGGCTAACCTGGGCGACCTGGGCATTTTCGCCGCAGGCATCTCCGCATGTCCTTTCTCGGACCGTTTAGTTCAGCCCCCCCCTTTTTTGCCCCTGGTTTTACCCCCTATGACGAACAAATTCACCCCCCCCAACCCTTATTTTCCGCAGGCAATGTCCCCCCCAAGGCCAATCTGGGCGACCTCAGCGGCCTCGCCGCGGGCACCTCTATTCGTTTCTCCTTGTGACGTTTAGATCACTCCCCGTTTTCTGCCCCTGGTTTACCCCCTATGACGATTGCACTCATCCCCCCCCCTTTTCCCCGCAGGTAACGTCCCCCCCAAGGCCAACCTGGGCGACCTCAGCGGCCTCGCCGCGGGCATCTCCGAAAAGTCCGCCTCCGTCATGATCGACGGCGGAGAGTTTGACGGCGCGAAGGCGTACAAAGACAGCAAGGTCTGCAACATGCTGACTGTGCGCGAGCTGCACCGGCGATTCCACGACAAAACCGGGATCACGTTTTCGTCGCTTTACCCCGGGTGCATTGCGGAGACGGGGCTGTTCCGGGAGCACTACAGCCTCTTCAAGACGCTGTTCCCGCTGTTCCAAAAGTATGTGACGAAGGGGTACGTTTCGGAGGACACCGCCGGAGAGCGGCTCGCTCAGGTGAGACTACACACCCCCCATCTTCCAACTTTTCCTCTATTCCCTATCTTTATCTCTTCTACCGGGGGCTTAACCCGTTGTAGATCTCTTCAAGACGCTGTTCCCGCTGTTCAAAAAGTATTTGAGGAAGGGGTACGTGTCGGAGGACACCGCAGGGGAGCGGCTCGCTCAGGTGAGACTGTTGACAAGAGCGAAAAGTTTCCTCGGAATCTTTCAGTCCTCAGGGCTTAGTAGATGGGGTTCGGCATTACCAGAACGCTGTTCCGCTGTTCCGTTGATCCTAGTTCCGCTGTCCTGATTCGTGACGAGTGTGCAATGGCTGGAGGACACCGCAGGACATCGGCGTGCAGAAGTAAGCTTGTTGCCTGGAAACCTCCGTTGTTTGCTTTTTGCGGGTTACAAGCTCTTAGCGGTCGGCGTCTTTGAGCAGCGCTTTTCTGAGGGTTGTGTTTCCAACGAGACCGCCAGAAATCCAATTTTTGAAGCTTCAGAATTATAAAAGGTCAGCTTTTGTTGTTGAAGCTGTCTCGGGAGGAGCTGTTCCGACAGTCCCAAAAAATCTTGGACCAGGATCATATGGCGGATGTGGTTTCAAGGCCGTACAGATTGACGACCTACAGAGCGGAGCTACGTGCTTAATTTGATCGTTGGCCGCTGCGCAGGACCGTGCTAAACGCCGTCGTGCGACACATTGTAGCTCTACGGTGCTGTCGGTGGGCTCGTAATTGGGCGTGCTTCTAACGCTACTGGCTCTTCTTGAATCTTACCCTCCTTGTTCGTGGCGATATACAGGTTGTGTCGGACCCGAAGCTCGGCGCGTCCGGCAACTACTGGAGCTGGAACAACGACCAGAGCTCCTTCGTGAATGACGTCAGCGACGAGGTGGCCGACTCCACCAAGGGGCAGAAGCTGTGGGAAGTGAGCGAGAAGCTCGTCGGGTTGAAGTAGAGACCTAAATTTTGTGACGGAAGGGCTATATCTCCATACCAAGTCGATAGAAAGTCAGTGTCATGCGTCTATTTTGTATGTTACGTCATGTGTTGAGGGAGTGTGATGAGTGCGCGTTGATTGATTGAGGCGCCATCCGGCAGACAAGTGCTGCATGCGGAGATACTGATACTGTGTTGGAAAGGGACTGTCGGGAGAGCTCCGTCCCGAGCGGGAGGGCCCGGTTTGTGATGTCTCGTATTTGATCTTTAAGCCACCAGAACCACGAATTGAGAGTCCGTTCGCTGTGGCAAGTTTGACATAGAAAAACGTTTAAGAAGCGAAGTAGTGACCCACTTCGTCAATCATAGTTGCTGATAGGGAAAATGCGGTCGACGGTATACAGTGACTTCAAAGGTTTCTGCATTGTTGGATCCAAGTTTTGCAAGTGTCCCGGCGGCGGTGGGATCGATATAATGCCAGGCCCACTGCATGCTGACAAATGACTTGCTATGGCTCGCGACGGCAGCGCGGGCCATGAATGTTTGAGCCCGGCACGGAGTGCCGTGCGTAACCGACGGTGAATTGATGTTCGTATGGTTTGGCTCAACTTTAGCATGCCTGGCAGCCTGGTGCCGCGGCCACTGTCTGGCAGCGAGCGGGCCTGGATTCAGCTGGCCGACGAGCGGAGTCCGCGCTTCGAACATCACCAGTCATGGCATTCTGCATTGCTTGGCTTCCAGTGCATCACCGATTGAATTAACGTATCTGCGCTCGTTTCTAGTAGCCTGTGTTGTGTAAGCTAAAACCCAGATCCAAGCATGTTTGTTTGGCGCGGCGGCCTGCATGTACGTGCATGCAATACGATGCGTTGCGCCTGTGTTAATGACAATAAGAAAGTAGGAATCAAATACGGGTGTTTGGCATGTTGGATGAGTCTCGATCATGCATGCACATGCAGTGGCACTGAGTCCTGATATTATGTAGCTAGGATATCACATGTGCAGCGCATATCATTATATACGATCGATCCTTGAGGAAGTCGAGGGCCTCATCATTCATTGCCAGTTGGACGTGTCGAATAAAAGCGCGCAAAAAATTAGACCTTCGAAGGTGGTTCTTAACGGTTCAAGCTGTCAAGCTGGATATATACCATATTAAGAGCTATTCAATTACATGCTGGCATGAAAGATCTTGTAACTGATGTTGGCAACATATCTTCAAATACGTCGGACGGGCCCAGGCTCGTCACATTGGCATGCTGGTTAAACTTGACTAGAATTCACAGAGTGACTGCTTATGCATGATCGAAAGACAAGAAAGCAGCCTGTCACCGGGGCGGCTAAGTTCTGTTACCATCGGAGACCCGGCCGGCGTCTCACCGCGCGGCCCGGCCGACACTGGACAAATTCCAAGTTTACGGTGCGGTCTCATCTGTATGAAACCGATCGGGGTTTCTCCCGCGAGCGTATGTAAGGGCCGCTAGATTTTGTTTGTCTTCATCTACGATGGTCACGAAGGATCGTGCCTAGCTAGTCTCAAGAAGACCTCCTACCACCTTTTTAGCTGTCTCGAGTCGTGTACTAGGATCCAGTCATATAGCCCAGCTTTACGTCATGTCTTTCACGACTCTTTTCCGTGAAAGAGACGTTTAACCAGGCTCGCTAGTAAGAGTCAACCATAACTGCTTGTTCCGTGGTCCCATATACGTTATGGTACCGTCCCATAACGTATACTAATGGGAAGTCGGCGGTCCCATACGGAACTTACACGAACGTACTGACGAACTAGAGTAATCCTGTACATCAAGGCTGCTGTTGTCCAGCTGGTGCCGCTTCAGTTTAGCAGAAGGTATAGCATCCGGCCATGAAGTTGTGTAACCAGATCTGCCAAGCATAAGTAAGAATTTCGGATCTCTGAATTGCTTAAGAGCCAAATGTTTCTTGATGCAAGTCCTGGCTTTTAAGGACTGATATGTCAAACTCGGAAGCGGGCGCATTATGAAAGGTCCTAGTAACCAACAGTACATGGACGAATGAGACAGCTATAGTAGTTGTGGCGTTCGAAGCGATTCATCCTAAAGCAAGAATTTTGTTCAAAGCTGTTTCTGCCCGCCGTCACGCCATACTTTCCTCGAGGATGATCATCTTCATGAACGTACGTCTTTCTTGAGACGCTGATCCGCAAGGGGATTGGTCCAGATACCGAGAGAACATACTTTGATAAGAAGTTACGTTTCATCTTGTTCATCGAAGCTCATTGAACGTTGGCAAAACTTTGATATGCAACGAAGGGGGGAGAACTTCATGTAACCATTGAGCCCTTGCTCCCTTCCTTCTTCTTCTCCAACCTTCAGTTCCTCTTAAGTGCTCAATCGTTGAGGTTTTCCCCGTTTGCCCGGATGCACTGCAGAACAATCAAGCTACTTTCTAACATTGTACCATCGATATGCACGTGTTTCAATCATCCCAGAACCAGCTCATTCTGTGCCAGCAGATTTGTTTACAGCCTTGAATCAACGATGTATCTCTCAACAGTACTCAGCTTCAACCTCATGAGCCAAATCAGGCCACTTCCCAATCTTTGCGCATGGTTTTGATCAGACTTTTCAGAGGTTCCGAAAGAGTGGCTGGACAGTCCACAAAACCGGCTGCCTGAGTCCACAAAGATCTGTTGCGCAGAACCGGTTGCATGCTCGAGACTTGTGTCGGAACTGGGCTGTTATTCTGTCGAAAATTCTAGAAAGTCTATTCTCTCTCCAAGCAGAAGTCACCAACAAAACATCTGTTGAGCAATTGATTCTGTTCAATGTTTCACCCTCCTCGCAGCAGCCTTGATCCGCAAAAGGAGACTTCAAAGGCCTCTGTCGAGTTGTTGACGCGATTGAAGGCAAAGTACTGAAAGGCCCTTGATTCGCCATAGAGCCTGAATGAGCATGACGAACAAAACTGTTCAGAAACAGAGTGTCAAAAGCTCAACTCACCAACAGATCAGCCACTCGTCATGGCAGGTGCGCAAAACAAGTCTTTTGAAGGTTCCTACCCAGTGGTTGACCTAAGCAAAGGCAACGTACTGAAATGCTCCTGCATCGCCGTAGAATCCGAAAGAGTACCGCAGTAAACAAAACTGAAAAGAAAACAGAGTGTCAAACTGAGCTCAACTCACCGACAAACCCACTCGTCATCAGCCCCCGCCCGGTTCCATCTTTCACACCTTATGCATGACATGCATCTGGGGCTTCGGAGGCGCCGGCACCAAGAAGCTTTCTCCCGCAGGGATGCAGCAGAACCAGTGGCGGGTTTGGTTAACCCGCACAAACCCGTTGCCCTCGTCCTGGCGGTCAACGTCAACGCGCCAGCTGCACGTCAGCAGCCGGAAGATCCCGTTGATGACGCCACACGCGAGCATGACGGGCAAGCAGGGGAGCACGATCAGGAACACGCGGCAGCAGTCGCAGCCTAGTCCGAAGCATCCGACGTCCTTGCGGGCGTCCATTTGCGGCGGCAATTAAGGAGCTTATAAGCTGCCGATCAGGCGCCTCCTGGAGCGGTAGATAAGGCCCCAGTGGAGAATGCTAGCGCTGCCAAGTTCGAGGCTTCAACCTGGCAGCCAAGTTCAAGCTTCAACCTAAGCTAGTGAAGCGACGTGAAGAGTCTGCCAAAGTCCAGTGCCGAGTCGAGTCTGCTCGGCGCTGCAAAGATATTCAGATTATTCCGGGCCTGCTTTAGAAACGTCACGCCCAAAAAAGTTGAGCCCTTCACTCCCCTACTCAGAGCCCGCTGTCCCTTGGGTACGTGTGTTAAGACTGTAGAACCATCTCTGTGCCGCGCGGTGTGACTTCAGCACGGACTATAAAGCAGCCAAAGCTAGACTCACATGATAAGTGCCGCAATCAATCAATCAGCATGTGAATCTTCTCGTTTATTCGGCATTACCAGTAGATTTTCCATTCTGTCCTCCTGTCCTCCTCATGCGTCAGTAAGCTGCATGTATTGTGCAGAAGAAATATTAGTGTGAGAGAAAGGGAGGTGATTTGACAAGAGAGAGGGATTACAGCCCTCCCTCTATCGCCTACGTTTCCTTACTCAGGTTCCGCGTTAAGATTTGAAGGGGGATTGCTCACTCCGAGCGTCAGGCCAGTGTAACAGGAACCTCGGCGCTCATGATAGGGTGATCCCTCGCAACTGCAGGCCGCCACGGGGCAACTTGCAAGTTGCAAGCCAGCTTTCAAAATTCAAGGTGCATGGTGACATTGGAATTTAATGAGCACACTTCTGCAGCATGATTGATGCATGATTGCTGATTGCATTGCTGGCAGCTAAAAACTGTTGTCGCTTGGCAATCAGGTATTATAGAGCTTCTCGTCAGTGCTTGCCACCAACTTTCACCGGTGCCGGCTGTCTACCGGCCCTCCTACATTTCTACCGGCTGGCAACACGGACTAAAGCACCGGGCGCCGGTTTTGCCTAGGCCCCCAACATCTTTTGCCGGCTGTCCAGCCGGTGGGGTGCCTTCGGCACCGGTGCATCTGTCATTTCTGCCGGCCAGGTCCAGATTGAACACCGGTTCGTGGCAAGCACTGCTTCTCGTGAGTCGTCACATGTCATATCCGCGGGCGTTCAACGAAATTCCATCGACGGTTTTTATTGTTCCTAGGGTGACGTCTTCCGGATTTGAGTCCGTTGATAAATCACTTGCGCGTGTCCGATCGACGGTTGGTTGTCGGATGAGCTCAGCGGACCCGCGTCGGAAAGACGGTTAAACTCGACACAGACTACACAGGCTATTAACAGCTTGGTAGTGCAAACTTGTTCTAACGTTCGGACACGCATGAGAGCAGGAGCCTATGAGATGACAAAATCGTTGAGGATTGAAAATACATCCGAGCCATCAGTGTGATGAAATTTTGTCCTGTCTCTCGTTTTAGAGGTACGAGAAAACCCTTAGTCCGCATTCTGACCCCTGACAACTTCAATTAAATCCGGCCACTAGTAATCAAGTTAGCATGATAGCATGATTGCATGCAATGGGAGCATGTGGAGACAATGGTTGACGTATACTAGGTACTGAACGAGTTCCCCGCACTGAGGAACTAAGAGATGATGATCGACGATCTGAGCCATTGACTAATTCGGACTTTGCAACGTAGTGGAATCGAAGGAAGGCTAAGAATATAAGGATGCTACTACCGTAGCTAGGTAAGCAGGCTGGATGGCTTTTTCGGTCTTGGCCGTCCACGGCTTCAAGTTCATCGTCAAGGCTATATATAAATTCCTTCAAAGCTACTCTTCCATGCATTTTGTCCACTTTTCGGTCATCCGTTTTCTGGCCCTAGATTAACCGGGATCTGGCATCGGCAAGCTAGTGCGACGTTTCGGGGCCAATAATCTGGCATTTGGCCCAAACATTTATGGGAACATAACAATGATCTCGAAGTTTTCAATTTTCCAAAAGATCGATATGATGGAAGAGGTTGGTATCCAAACTCACATCCTTGCATGGTAAACAGCTAGCTAGGTTTTTTATGTTCAATATGAGTGCCTTGATGTGTGGAACATGGCATTCTCAGACTCTGGAATTGAAACTTTGACTCATTTACGGCTTGAGATTCAAATACCCGAACCCCCGGGAATGCCACGCTGCCCGGGCCAGATCATTTTAGTTCGGCAATAACCGTAGAACTTGAATGGTTGAATCTAGCTGCAGCACAAGCTCATGGCCTGGCGGCACCTTGGCAAATGCTCTCAAACAAGATATTTTTTGAATCCGGCCAGCAAACTCGATCAGCCGAGCTCGACAACCAGTAAAGAAGTCAAAACTGTTTATCGTCACTACGTTCATAAGATTAGTACCTTAGCAAGCTAGTTTGTGCGCGTGCTCGCAGAAAAGATAAATCTGGCTAAGCTTCACATTGTCTGAGTATACTTGAACGTAATTCCTTCTGAGTCAACTCCATAACAATAAACATAAATTGCTCATGTCTGTTGCACACAGTTTTTCCCGAACCCGGCCAGCCATGCGCGCGCGCAGGCGTGCCTAAGGCCCATGGCCGTGCCCTAAAATGTCTACGACAAAGACGCAGCGTGTAGAAAAACTAGCCTAAGCGGGCGCGAAGCAACAATTAATCCCCCGTTCCTTGTCGATGTGGCTGCACATCTGACATCATCACGTACCGTCGTGACAAGCCGCTGCAGAAAGAACTTTCTCCGCTGCGCTACTCGTCAAACCTAGTTACAAAATTGGACATGCACGTGGAGCCACGCGAACAGTAAACAATTGGCGCATGTTAGCACCTGTCCCGCGCCTTCCGGTGATGACGAGTTCCGCGGTCATTCCGGCGCACCATGCAAGGTTCGCTTTGACGGATAGATTCCGGCGGCTGGCTGGCCCCCATGTCAATGACTGAGCACGAAGTCGATTGCGCTGATGTAACCCGGGTTCAAGTGGTCGGTTATCTGCACGGGAAGAAACGACGCCGACATGAGAGCCACTTGAAGACATCACAGGAAAGTGACGTAAGGATCAAGCGGTCAACGAAAGCTCCTCTCAACCGTTTGCAATTGTTGGATATCGCAAACAGGAGTCTTTGGTAGGACGCTCCACGTCGGCGCAAAATGAACCGAAGGAAGCCCGCACTAACGTCAGACGAGGCGACAGCTTGAGATGGGTCTGTAATCTAGCCGATTTGATTTTAACATATCATTCCCGCCCCGCGCCCCCGGCTGTTCAAATTGCCTCGGGATCCGATGAGAGAGTACCCCTTGCGCTTACAACATGTCTTGATGTCCTTAAGAAGCAGTGTCTCAACGATATGTCATATCAAAGGGCTATGTATTAGAAGGCTCATTGCCTGGGACGGGTGGGTTAGTTTGGGGGTTTAGGATGGGTGAGATTTTTCATAGGACAGGGTTCGAAGTGTTGAGGAGTTCCTTTACAATACATGGCTCTTCGAGAGTCATCTTTCTACCCAGAGAAGCACTACGGCCTTCCAACTTCAACGACCGAAGGCGACATAAAGACGGGAGGCTAGGAATTAGCTAGGAGGAAGTAGTCGGTAATCCGACGGTGCAAGATGAGGGCGACTCACGCTGCCCGTGTAGTATAGTGGGCGGTCGCCGCTCTTTGCTTGGACGTATCCGGTTATGCTGTCCCGGGCGAAGAAGATCGTCCCGTTGGCTAGACAGGTTTGCAAATACCTGCGGGCAATGTTGACTTGGAGAATGACTGTCCGGACATGGCAAATGGGTTGAGAATTCACTCCGCATTGCCCTTTTACTTGTGAAAGAAGGAGGGGTTGCGTAGGCTTTGCAGATACCTGCGGGCAGATTTGACTCAGGGCTGTCCAGACATGGAAACTGGTCCTGCACTCATTTCGCATACCCCTTTCACTTTTAAAGAAAAAGAGCTGGCTAGCTTTCCAACAAAGACGTCAGGAATGGTAGAAGCTCATCAGATCAACGATTAGGCCAGAGGGGGCGTAATTACACCTCAAAGTTTAACGAACTAAAAACACCAAACAGAATATAAACCAGGGTTTCAGCCGATCACCCCTGCGCTCGGTGGGTACCGACGGTACCGTTTCCTGCTGATCTACCAACCGGAACCTTCTCCCCCATCTCTTAACCCTGTGTTCTTGACCATCTTTTCCACTCTATCCCGACCCCAGTCAATAGCAGGGAGCCTCTTCCAACTTTCTTTCGAACCCACTTTGCTCAATACGAGGAGAAAGCTGTTTGTAAGGTTAATAACCATGTAAGAACCATGGTTAAGAATCAATGTCAAATATCGGGGTTAAGCATGAGGGTTTCAACTAACCCAATTGAAGCTCCGTGAGGATTGACAGTACCGCGTCCTGGTTATTTAACATCCGGTATCTCCCCCATTTCGTAACTCCGATCTGACCCCCTTTTCCAGACACTTTTTCGAGTCAATTCCGTAACATATAAAAGCCTGTTTGCAAGGTTAAGAATCAGGTTTCAGCTCACCCTTGAAGCGCGGTGGGGATTGACGGTACCACGTCCTGGTTGTTTACCATCCGGTACCTTCGCCCAAGCGCGATCCGGCCGTCGAAGAAGCCGACGAAGGCCGGGTTGCCGACACGTGGCGCGCCCGCGTTGATCATGCTGACGTCAGCCTGCGCGCGCGCGCGGACGGAGCAGGTGTTTGACAAAATGCTTTTTCAATGACCACCAAAACCTGGTTTGAGAAGACATCCAAGACAACACCATATCCTAGCCTTGCTTACACGACTTTGACAAGGAGCCTTTGCCATGCTCAGTCTAGGAGACTCAACGAAAAACTTCGAACCGAGCGGCAGCGAACGCTTGCGTAGTGACTTCTCTTATAGATACTGCTCCCCCAGACTGAGAATACGATATACCACCAGACGCAGTGCTTTCGAGTGGTTAAGCTTTCTTATTTTGAAAACATAGGAATCTAGAAAGGACCGAAGACGATAAGCGTGAATGAGCGCAATACCTGTGGGAACTGCTCGCCGGCCCAGATGGCTCCTAACGTCGCCAGCGCGCCTCCCAAACTGTGACCCGCATTGAAAACCCTGAAGAAGCCACGCGCGCATTTGTGAGAAGGAATTCAGTCTGGCACCATTGATGCTGACGCACTTCGACTGTCCGAGTCAGCATGACGACAATCTCGAGCAATGTCTTACACGAGAGGAGTCGAGTCAGGTACGGCAGTTGGACGGTATAGAACGTAGTCATCTGAGGTGGAGCTCGCTCAAACTCGAGGTAAATCAGGGTGGATGAAGTGTCAGACTCTTCTCGACTAGTGCAAGCAGCTTTGCTAATCTGCTCCAAGGCTCCTATTGAGATAGACTCCAGCTTTGTCAACCTGTCGTGAAGTATAAAATTCTTGAACCTTATCAAAATCTATGCAACATTTACACACAGAAAAAGGGCCCAGCTTACTTTGTGACGCTCTCCAAAGTGGCGTTCGAACCGTGAGCCGCCTGGTACGTGGCGACCATGGACGCGCAGATGTCGGTGGCGGGGTCGCCGCTCCCACCGGTGACTGCGGAAAACGCGGCTAAGAAACCGGCATGGACCTGCATACACACAAGAAGCCAGTGATGATTTTTCCTAAATAGTACAGACTTGTATACTGGTAACTCCATTTCAATTAAAAAGCAATTCGCTTAAGATTTTAAGTCCACCGGGTAGTTAAATCAAAACCCTAACCTTAAGATTCACGCGCTCCGCACCCGAACCCACCCAAACAACCGTACTAACCCTACCCTAGCCGCCCCTTCTGGGCGCCTATGTTGAGCAGAATGCGTCTAAGTGAGATGCGAGTTATCAGAATCCGACTCGTAAGAAAGAGCTATGAGTACTTGCGGACTTTCCAGTCTATGTCAGAGCAGACGCGTTCCGATTGTAAGTGCCTACAAAGGCCATGAAAGCATTCCGTTGCCAAGGTTTCTCGTTGAATCAAAATGATGCAACCGCAAAAGATGCTGGTGGCAGACAAAGTTAGGAACATCCGAAACCTCAAGCGAGTGCAAATTCTCGTCAAACCCAGTTGCCTCATGCATTTACTTTGACAGACGGTCCGCTATCCCAATGCTTTAATCGGTTGATCGGACGTCGAGTGTGCGCTCAAAGTTTGAAAACAAATGAATCCCATCTCCTCTGTCAGGACAAAGATAAGTCAGTGACAGCATTCAACAAAAAAACCGAAGCGCACGTTCTTCCTAAAGTTTTGATTCAAATCCAAACCCAGTCTCTTCTCCCAAAGCGGATCATTCCGCCTTGGGAATGATTGCAACCGTACGTGAAAAAGAGCAGCCGACGTGCCAGCTAGACGTCAGCAGATATTGACTTAATTCGGTTAAGCCGCCGTCAATTGACTCGATATTCCCCTCCGAAAGTCGAGCCGCCCAAAGAAGAAGGCAGCTGCGTATGTATATTACGGCGTCGTCGAAACCTCGCCGGCCAATCTCATGTCGTCGTCATCAATCAATATGAGCGTTTGTAAAAAAGAACATAAATTCAAAGCAGATTCAGTAGCTGGAAAGCGATACGGACCTGACACCCCCCCGGGCAGTCCGCGTATGTATAAGGCCTCATCAGAAAGTTGCCGAAGTCTGTGATAACGTCTATGAAGCCCAACTGGGAGTCGACATCCGTACCGCGGAAGATGAAACCGATGAACGACGGGTCTTCAAAAGCGACCGTGTAAACCTGCGCGAAAGTGGTCAAGTCAAAGCCTGCTTAGCGGCGGAAACATGCGCTTGACGACTGGTCAAATCAAAGGATACAAACAGGCGGAAGACGTCTCTCCAAATGCGTGTGACTCTGGGAACAAAACCCGCCGCTGCGACATAGTTTTACGGCTGGTCTAGCCTGACATGCTGAGGCAGCCAGGAAAAGGACTTGAATTGCAATCGGACTTCCAAGCGCCAAAGAAGGATGAACGAATGCATGCGGATTGTTGAGACGCCTTCATGTAAGTCGAAAGCAAAACAGCCGTTTGAGCGCAGTGAAGCTATCGTCAAAAAGCTCGACACCAACGGCCGGAAGTGCGAGCACGATTGAAGATGGGCAGACTCTTTCTAGATCAGGACTAATACAAAAAGAAAAAACCTTGACCTTGAAATTGGCCGACTTCAGACAGGGCGTTCTTCCTTCCGTCCGCTACAGCGACTCTACACCAGTTGGTCGATCTACCGTAATCTGTGTGATCGAGTCTGACTGCAGTCAGCTTATCTGGAAGCTCGACCTCAAGTCCACTGACTGACACCATGCAGACATATGTCTGTGCCTATCCGATTTGCGCCAGTCTGATAGTGTCAACTCACCTGAGTGTCGTAGATACTCGCAGGCAGCCCTTCTCCCACCGAGACCGTGGTGACACCAGGCCCGCGCTTTTGATTGCATGGGTGCCAGTCAGGTTTGCGGTCAGGTTAAGAAAACCCTGCACGAAAAGGGAGGATGAGAAAGGTAGTCTCGAGCTTAGACTAAATGTAGCTTTTAACATAGTTAGCAACGGCTCAAAAGGAAGACATATGTTTCGGAACGCTCGGAAGCTTCAAGCGTTTGTGTGTGCTTCGAGGAACTAAATTACAAGGCTAATGAGCATGTCCAAATTTGTGAAGCTCAAGGGATAACATCTGCACAGAGACATTCTTAACGTGTTTAGTGGGCTACAAATTGCACACGCTTGAAGCCGAAAGCGGCCCATAAGATACGCTTTCCTTAACTGTGACACGTGCAAAACAAGAGAATTGAACGGAAGCGAAGCCTTTGAAGAAGAAAAAGCAACCGCTACGCAATCGCTCGAATCGCTTACCGGCAGGTCTTCATATGCCGCACGCATGAGCTGCTCCGGGTCTCTCAATCCAGCGACCACGGCCTTGACACTCGGATCCGTTGAGCCAACCGGAACGGAACCCAGCAACGGAAGCGAAAGCGCCTGCAATTCCATTCGGATACACCTTGCTCTACTAGAATTAAGGAACCAATTACATTCCGAGAATCACTCTGGTATGATTCTGAGTTGTATAGCAATCGCGCTTGCTAAGATCAGAAGGTACGGAATGAAATCGAACGACGAAGTGCGCTCTTGCTGCACACAACATAATTGCGCCGGCTTCTTGACGCCCCACTCGCACCCTCTTCCAGGGCCGGAGCACATAGCATCTGAGTTCCCAATTCGTGGTGGTCAACTTGTTCTCACGAAAACTAAGAGCAGGAACTAGCAAAAGGACTTGACCAGACGCCTGAGTATCATATGTTTGAGGGTCCGCTTTTGGTTAAAGTTTTTAGGGTTTTAGGCAAGTGCGCACTCCCGAACCCCAAACCCGTTCCAAGAAGTTTGCAGATACCCCAGTTTGTATCTCCAACCTTGACGGAACCGCTTGGAGTCGAAGTGTGCATTTGCCAGATTCTTCAGGTGCTCGATCCAACTTAGCTGCTTGTGAGACGAAATATACCGTTCTTTAACAACGGTGGACTATGTTCTTCGTCCTGAGATCCCTGAAACTCGACCTAAGCTTCTATAAGGGAAGCGTGCGTCAAGAGAGCACGCAAGCATATGCAAGAACCATTCCACGAACCAGCCCCTCAAAGTCGCCGCCTTACTGAGCCGCTCAATTATGCTGAACACGGCTTTTCCTTTTCCTCCTTTCTTAGAACCTAGCTATGTATAGACAGCAATGCGGAATAACTGCGCACAGAGGTAGCCAGCGCCACAGCGCAAACCGTTTTCCAACCTCTGAGTTTCTTAGTTCAATCTCTTGATTGACTAACAGTGGCCCGACCTTTAGGCGATACCGGCAAAGTACATGTTTGCAAGAGATTCTCTAATAACTCAAGTTGGCACTATATATAAGCTGGGTGGATGTGGCAGAGGACTCACCCCCAAGCCGGCAGACGCAGCAATCTGTTGCAGAATTGCAGGCGGCAGGCTCGCGGCGACATCTGAAAAGGGCAGGTTAGATCCTCCAAAGAATTGAAGGGCACATGCATGAATCAGCACCATTGCATGACAGAAATAATCGGGCCACCTCTAGTTGTCAATCATCTTTATTTTCCGCCTCAAACATATCGTCCTGACTGCACAAAGAACTTTGCTTTCATTCGAACAGGAGCAACGTAACAGGTCTTGGTGTTGCTCTGCTGATATGGTTCTCAAGCCACAATCTCAGTTTCATCGGATGCCCTTTTCTGTGGGCTCTGATGAATCTGACTTCCAAATTTTATGGGAATCTTTTTCTTCAAACAAATCTGACTTCCGAAATTTTCGAGAATCTTTCTCCTCAGAAAGGGGTCTCAAAGAGCCTGGTTGAACATAACCTGACATACATGGAACATCAACTTGATCAAGACGGAAACACTAAACCAACAACAAGGACGACAAATGAACTTACTTGAGCTAGAATTTTGGCTGAGGAACGACGTCACGCCTTATTGGAGAAGGTTTACGTTCTGGGATGGACAGAAGATGACTTGGTCAGCCGTGAGAATTCAACACAAGAAACAAGTTTGCGGTCTGGTGCAGATCACAATCATCTGTATGTTCCACTGGATCCCATTATACTTTCCCGCGGTACTATTATACGTTGGAGACTGCTCGCACTGGGTTCTCTGTTATCAAGTAGCACATTCAAACCCTAATCCAGACGACTCAGTCCCGCATCCATACCATCCTCACCCCTAGAAGTGGCACCCACTTTTGATATCTCAACTTTCTTGAATCCCACATCAGGAAGTCTATGAGCGGCCTGACTGGATTGTAAGTCTATCTCCAATTCTAATGCATCATGTATTTCTTAAAATAATATGCGCACTATTCAGCTGAACAATTTCTGAAAGGGCCACTGGTAGTTCCACCTACATTTTGAACGGCCCAATGTGGGTACCCCACATTTCAGACACCGACTAGGAGCCTCGTGGCAGAGGGTTTATGGATACCCAAAGAATCTTCCAAGGAAAAGTCTTGGCCTTGAGCTCCAATCATCATCAATGTGGCGCCCAGACGAAGAAGAAATTGACTTCAGAGAATTCAGAGAGCCTGGTCTATCTGCGCCGCCCATGCATGCACACAAATCAGCATGCAGAAGCGTTACGAAAACCCTAGAGCATGCGCCGAAGACTAAGAAAAAAAGAAGTGGAAGAAATATCGAACGTGCCTGCTGTTCCCCGGCAGGGGTGTCCGCTTGGCTGGGAATGAGCCCCCCCAGTAGCGGAAGCTGCAAAAGCTTCCGAACTGTTGCCCCCTCCACTTCAGAGGCGCCTGCGGCGAGCAAGACAGAGGTGGCGAGGAGCAGATAAGCTCTGCTGACGACATTGTTGCGACGACGCACGCCTGAGCGCTGCGGAGAGCTGAGTGACGGCATCGAAGGAGCGCACGAGGATATCAACAGCTATGCTTCAGGAGCTCTGCCCGTAAAAGGAACAGATGATGCCAGCCGATTGGAAATTGGAAGGTTGGAAGGAAAGACAGCACGACGTTGTGCATGGCAGGCGACAGCAGCTGCAGCCTGCGAGAGTTCCGTCTAGAGAGCGCTAGGTACGGTAGTAGGTCGATGTACGCTTCATAAGCTATGACGGACCTTATGAACCGGTCGCTTCGGAGCCTGCCTCGGGAGACGCAATCCCAAATCGTCGCCCCTGGACCGTAAGAGTAACTTCTTGGCAAGATGACCCGAAACCCTAACCGTTGGATATGCTAGGCAAGCCGCTCGAAAACACCTGCCTAAACCCAGGCTGAACCTTGCTACCAAACCCCCGGATGGCGGCCGCGCCGGCCGCCCGCTCGTTCAATGGAGTCAGCGCGCGCTCGGCGGCCAATCATGATACAGCCCGCGGCCCGGCCGCCATGGGCTGAGTGTCGCTGCGTAATCGTTTGATAAAATGATTGCCTTACTAATCCCGGGATAGTTTATCGACTCTGTTTCCGGAAGCTTGGTGTATACCTACTACCGTATAGAGGCTTAGTATGATTGGAGGCCGGCCTCGCGTGCGGCGTATGTGCAACTCTCATTGAGTCCGTTCATGATCTTATCGTACGTCGTCAGAGGATATATGCGCGGCATGGAGCTCTGGCACGGGACCAGTAGGTTGATCATGCAGATAATTGGACGTTGGCATGTGCGTTAATTCCAAACAAGCAGGCTCCATGCAATCGCGCTAGATCTCAGCGGTCAGTATATTTAATGTTAACGTTAACATTAACATACTCTCTCTAAAATATACAACGGTATTCAATAACTTATCTAGATTGCATAGTCGTTCTGAAACTTTGACGGGTTCGTTATCTCCATCTGGCCAGCCTGGCCGCAATAGAACGGCACAATGATATGTCGAAATCGCATACACCGTCGCCATCGAAATACTCAAAAGCACAATTGAACGCACCGTGACCACAGTGCGGCAGTCCGTGAATCGCTTTGCAAGTTGTCTTTGGCTCACTGTCGAGATGAAGCGCGCGAATGCCAGAGACTGAAAATGTACTTACGTCATTAAGGCAGGCTGCCATGTACGAAAACGCCATTCTAGCATGCGGGCTCTCTAGTGCTGCCCACTCAGTAACCTAGCAATGCTCGTACATGCTACAACGCCAGCACATTTCAAGATAGAGCAAAGAAAGACAAAGCAAACCCTCGTTATAAAACTATGCATTATTCGCCTCAGTAAGCAATGAAACATTACGTTCCGGAGGAATGCCTGGCTGGCTTGCTAGCGGATTACGCTCTTTGACACAAGCCAGCCACAGCTATTGCACCTTGCATTCAAACATCTAACTCGAGACTGTCTACACGGGCGCATAAACGACCACTGTGCGGGACGGAGTGTAAACCTGCAGACACATCAACGTGCTTTATGTATCACGCCGATTGCAAACTTGGTTTGAGTAACACATTACGCCGCTAGCTTCCAAGGCTTTCCAACAAAGTCATCACGTCACTCCTGAGAATCATTGAGCATTTCGCCAGCGCCCAAGTGCCCCAGAACTCCGCTTCATAGTGCGAAAATCAAAAAGTTGTAGAAACGGAGCACAGATGTACAGGCAAGCGGTTCCCCATACGAGGAAGCGGCCTCTCGTTTTGCCGTTGCCTTGATGCGTGTTACATCCCATTGGACCTCTTGAACCCGATGCCTATGAAGCAATAAGCATCCAGCAACCTGTCAGCAGCAAGCGCCAGCGAAGACCAAACCAGGATGCCTGCTTCTGGAGAAAGAGAAGGAAGCAACCAGAGCAAAAGTAAAACCTTACCTGGAAAGAGTGGGGCCTGTTGTCGTGCCAGCCCTCGCTTGTGTGGAACTCGGCGCTGGGGTCCAGCCGTGCAAACCCGCCGAACTCCTTAAGGTCCGAGTCAAGAACGATCTGGAAAGCGAGGAATTGAGTTAGCTTAACACAAATTCCAGAATATCGGGAGATTCGTGCAACCCCGCCGAACTCCTTAAGTTCTGAGTCAAGAACGATCTGCCATACGCAGGGTTGAGTGTTTTAACACCTTTTTCAATGCTGGAAACTGTGCAAACCCGCCGAACTTCTCAAGGTTTGAGTCAAGAACAATCTGGTAAAGGCAGGATTGGGTTTGCTTAGCGAATCCTCAGGAAAGCAATCCGGACGTACTAGTAGGTATCAGGTCGGCGTCGGCGGATTCAAGCTCCGCACAAATCAAGGTAGTTTGATGGGCCCGTTCGACCAGTTGTCATGACATCCGCAAGCTCGGATTAGCCAACTGATGTAGAAGCAGCAGGCTTGATTCTTAGCGGGTGATGCGGCCAAGAAGGAAGTCAACAGGCTTGGAACTTTGCGCCATGTAGGTGACCGGTTTGAGGCAACCGACCTGGTAGTCGGTGAAGAAGCTGCTGTTGTGGAAAGTCGGAAACAAGGCTAACAACCGAAAACACTTTGCAATACGAAAAACTTCACCGTATAGAAGTCCAAAGGCGTAAAAGTCGAGATCCGAACACACCAACGACCACTCACCTTGTAGGTGCCCGGTTTGAGGCAGCCGACCCGGTAGTCAGTGAAGGAGCTGCTGTAGTGGAAGTTGAAGACGAACACGAGGTCGCCCCGCTCAAACACAATGAGCTTGTCGCCCTCGTCTTTCCGGCTGATGTACTGGTGGCGCGACGTCATGAACTGGAGAACGAGGAAACGTCCGATGTTTCGGTTAGTGAAAGGTTAGTGCAGGATTCAACGCGCCCTAATCAAATAGGACGATTTTGTCGGCTGATGTATAGGTGGCGAGTCGTCATGAAGTGGGCAACCGGAGAATACCCGTTGGTACCCCAACTGGCTTTCATGGATTCTTGCGATTCTCTAATGTTGATCGTGGATAGAGCAGGGTTTATTGCAAACACTGGGCAGGAGTTCATGATGTCCCGCCATCAGTGCACTTCGTTATGGTTATACAGAGTGCACTGATGGGGGACATCATGAACTGTGGACCCAAACTGCATTGAACTTTGAATATCGCGATTAAAGATTAAGCCTTACCCCATACTTCTCCTCCAGCTTGTTCATCGCTGAGTCAAAGTCATTGAGCCCTTGTAACGCATGTACGTTGCATCCGCCAGAACAGATTTATACAGGTTAAAAGATGCAATCCCAGAAGCATACAGTTTTGATTCAGCGACATTAGATTGAGCCTCACCACATACGTCTCCTCCAATTTGTTCATCGCCGAGTCAAACGATGAGGCTTTTGGACGCAGGCTAGTTGCATCGGCCAGAATGAAACAAACCTAAAACTGAAAATACAAACCCGAACACCATGGGATCGTATGCGCCTAGAGGCTAACTCCTTGCCCCGTACTTCTCCTCCAGTTTGTTCTTCGCCGAGTCGAAGTCGTTGAGCCCCTTCTAACGCAAATACGTTGAATCCGCCAGAATCAATTCAAGGCAGGTTGACAATAGCAGATTCAAACACCACTGAACCTTGGACATCGCAACTGAAGCTCACGCCTTACCCCATACTTCTCCTCCAGTTTGTTCATCGCCGAGTCAAAGTCGTTGAGCCCCTTGTAACGCAGGTACGTCGCATCCGCCAAGTCGAACCGCCGCCGGCACAGGTGGTAGCTGCTGCCGTTGCCGGGAATGAATTTGCCCTTGGTGTCATATGTGTCCGACCGCGGGAAGTCGATCCACTCTGCGAAAAGATGATGGTATCAAGATAGTGCACACCATTTTTGGGGCAACATTGATCGGGATGGCAGAACGAATTTGCCTAAAACAAGGGAAAGGCGACTGGGCAACCGAGTGCGTACGGTTGAGCAAGTTGCAGTGCACCTTTCGGAGCTGGGCGTGTTGGGCACATCCTACCGAAATTGCCCGAGACTCCAGCGTGTTTACTAAGATTCGTAAATCGCCACACAGTCAGTATCAGTAAGCTTCTAGTCCCCACACGCAATGCAGCGCAGGTGCTCTTTCTCCCAAGTCGCTTCTTTTCTTGTCATCGACTCAAAGGCCAATATCAACCGAAAGTTTAAGCGGTGAAAAGCAGAGACGCTAGCGACCCTCGCTCCATGAGTGACGCTCTCGATCCTCGCTGGAGCTGAAAAAGAATAGGATTTGGGTACAGAGCTCGTCGTTAGTAGTTTACCTGGGTGCCCAAACTCGTTGCCCATGAAATTAAGGTACCCTTCCCCTCCCAGAGACATGGTGATGAGCCGAATCATCTTGTGTAGCGCGATGCCCCGGTCAATGGTCGGGGTGCTCGGGCCGTCGAGCGCCATGAAGTCGTACATATCCTGCAGAGGAGAGTGCCGAATGGTTCGCCGATTGTGGAAGTGGGGAATAGTGGAAACATCTGCGGGTTCAAGCAGAGTTTTGGATCAAACTGGTGATGAGAAGAATTATCTTGGGAAGCAAAATGGTCGATTGTTGGGGTGCTTGGGCCGTCAAGAACCATGAATTCATACATATCCTGCAGAGGAAAGTGCCGAATGGTTCGCCGAT